GGTTTACTCGCAGAAAGCAAATAAAAGTCAAGTTTGAACATAAAAGGAAGGTTTGAAGAGAAATAGAAGATTTCCGCAGAAGAAAAGGAAGGATCGAGAAGAATGGAAAATTCCCGATTTAAGTCAGATCTGGGCAAAATGGAAAGATCGGATAGCCAAGACGAGGAGTATATAAAGAGGAGGTCTAGGGCAGAAGCAGGGACACGAAATCAGACCTAGAAGAGACGGCTGCTAGCTTAGAATTTAGGACTTAGCGTTTAGACTAGCACTTCAGATCCTTAGAACGTTTTAACGTCTAAGTTCTTCAATTCTACTTGTAACAGTTGTCGATTCTTATTCAATAAAAGCTTTCTTACGATTTCTTATCTCTTTATTCTTTGTTGTTCATCCATATTCCTCTGAATTCGTTTGTTTTAGTGATTTCCGCAGAGATCCAGAACCTCGGGAAAATTAGGGTGTCGCCCTAAGTTTCCATATTTGACGGAAAATCGACAGTGTGGATTTCGGTTCCCACATCAATACATGTTCAATGTAATTTTGGAATTAAATATTTATGTATTTTAAATGCCATTTAGTTTAATCTAAACATGACTAATATATGTACATCTAATTTAAATATCTATTAAATAATATTTTTTACTCATTAATTATATAACTATTTGTATCCTGCAATAGAAAAATTTAAACTATTAATCAAAATATTATATGTGAATTTTTTTAATTTAATTTATAGTCGTTTTTAAAAATTCAAAATATAACATGTATAAAAAACTAATTTTTTTTGTTATATAGTTAATGTTATTTTTTAATTTATTTTCACAATATAAATTTAACAAAAAGAGCAGAGACTATACAATTTTTATCAAATATTTCATATTCAAATCACTAATTGTCATATATATATATTATAAGCATATTAGTTAATTCCGTAAATTTTATTTAAGTAGATGATGATTAGCACTAATAATAGTTTTATGTTTAGTTTAATAAAAAATATATTATATGTTTATATGAACAACATTTTTCTCTAGTAAATTTCAGAAGCATTCTCATGATGCCACGTGCCTACCAAAATATCTTGTAATGCTTCTCAAATAATATACAGGGGATGTCTCTAACTCCTAAAACATTTTAATGTTTTCTTCCATTAATCTTTTGCTTGGACCATTTCCACAGTTTCCAAGTTTTCTTTGTATCGTTGGACTGTCACTTGATCATCATTTTCGGTCCACATGTCCAAAATTTTGATAGTCGATCTCTTTGGACTCGTACGGGACTACGGGTGGCCTCACAATTTGTGCTTCGCATCCTGCTTTGACATGTCCAGATAACGTAGGCTGTACTCATAAATTATTTTTACATTCATAACTAAATGATTTTACCTTTGCGGAAAATGCTTTTATTGTGTGGAATTTTTTTAATATAATTTAGTCTTTGGGTAATATATTCATATATGGTTTCCTCCTTGTTTAATATGAAATTTAATTATAACATCCAATTTTTCATAATTTCTATCTCTAGGCAACCCAAGTAGAAATATCTATTTAGATTTCTGATGTTACATCTTCTTGAAACTCAACTATCCAAGATCAGGAAAGCAATGTATTAACATTGGAATATGTGTACTTTAAAGTTTAATATTAGTTTTTGGTATTCATTAAATTTGCATGCATGAGAAACTAAGCATAATTAACGGGTACGCATGACATTCATGAGCTTTCCCAATTATAAAAGCCTCACCGACGATCTCAAGAAAGTAAAAACAATTAATTCAAAAGAAGAAAAACAAAAATGGTGTTCTCTTCAAAGTTCATCACATGCCTCCTCGTCCTAACCGTCTACATGGCAGCCCCAACAGAGTCAACCATAACGTGTGGGACAGTGACAAGCACACTTGCACGGTGTGTAGGCTATTTGACCAACAGTGGTCCGTTGCCGCCAGACTGTTGCGTGGGAGTCAAATCCTTGAACCAAATGGCTCAGACCACACCAGACCGGCGACAAGTCTGTGAGTGCCTCAAATCTGCGGCTAAGGATGTCACCGGCCTCAATACCGAACTTGTGGCCACACTCCCGACCACTTGTGGTGTTTCAGTTCCCTACCCCATTCGTTTTAGCACCAATTGTGACAAGTACGTATCCATAACTTGTTCGTTTGTTTGTTTCATTTGTTTATTTCATTTACGTTTCTTTTCTTTCTTTTTCGAATGTGGAGATAACTTTAAAAGCCTATTTTATCCTAGGAAGTACTATCTTGAAAGTTCATTATACACACACGGCTCCAAAAAGTACATAAAGTTAATTAATATGTAGGCCCTAATTAAACTTTAATATCATACATGACAGTTGAAAACATCATCTATACTAAAGGAAAGATTACGAAGAACAAAACAAAAAAAAAAAACAAATAATTTTATATTTGTTGTAAAATGTCAATAATTGTTTCGGGTGTTAATTCTCTAAAAATATATAGTAATATAATATCAAGTATAGAAGAAATATATATATGTTGTTCTGATTTAAAAATCAAAGATAATACAACTCTTTATATGTATGACACAGTTAGTTTATAAACAAAGATATAATAATAGGTGATTTTTAAAAAAACACAAGTATTAATATTTTTGAGATAATATTATAGTCCAAAAGAATGGAGTACGAACCATTGCTTTTCTGGTATGATTGTGTGACTATATCCTCTTGGAGTTTCAGTCTTAGTGCATGGTTTCCAGTCTCATAATACATATTGTTTTGGTATTTCGAATGTTGCAGTATATCGGCTGCCGTGTGAAGGAGGCTAGAGATGTACGATTGATAAAGCTTTTTTTTTTTTTTTTGAATATAACGACTGATAAAGCTTTTAACCTAAATAATAAGTATTCCAGTGTTATGTCCCATTTTATGAGTTCATTCTCTTATTATGTAATCATCCATTTCATATGGTAATAACGACAAAGGAACTCTTTCTCGCTCTCTCAGTTTACGGCACCTTGATAATGTTATGTACACGAACCGTACCATCAGGGAAACGGGATACCGTTACTGTTTTACATGTACTATGATCAAATACATTGCAGAATATTTTTATTTTATACTCAAAACGGCATATAAAATCGTAAATTAGTATAATCAATGAAAAAACTTTTGACATTTGCACGTTCAATCGAAGATGGCATACACAATGCCGCCATGCCGGTTCAAAATAATAATGGAAAAACGACATAAAATTCATGAAGTTTAAAATTCAATTGCTAACACTTTAAATAATGAAATTGGTATCAATAACAGATTAAACATCTAAACTAACTTGTTTTTTGCAAACGTCAAAATTGTTATCGGTTATTGTTAATTAGTAGGTAAAAAATGATGACGTGGTGGTTTAGCTTTCTAAAATAAGAATAATTACTTTAATTAGTAAAAAAAAAAACTAGATAAAAATTTAATATAAATTCTAAAAATTACAGTTCAAGAAAAAATAAAACTCAAAAATCAAAAAAAAAATTACAAAGATCGATAAAAATTAGGAAAATTTAATAAATCAGGAAAAATAAATAAAAATGCAAAAACTAAAATATTGAAAATGAAAATTAATAAAGATCATTTTTATAAATTCAAAAAAGTAATAATAATAATAACAAAAATAAATTATACAAATTGATTAAAAATTAAGAAAAAAAATCTGGAAAAAAGGAAAACCATGAAAGTGACAAAATTAGCAAAAATCATGAAGTTGGCAAAAGTTTACATTTTCAGATGCCTTGTTGAGAGGATCTAAAGGATCCAAACCCGGACATCTGAACGTTTATATGTTTACCTAAACACCAAAGAGATTTGGGTCAAGTACTTTTCATTTTTGAATTTTGAATTTCTTGATTTTTGAATTTTTATTTATTTTCCATATTTTTATAAAATTTCCTATTTTTTAATTTTTATCATTTTTTTAAAAAAAATTATGTTTTTCTAATTATTTTTTACTATTTTTTTTAATTTTAATCGATTTTAATTTTTTTTTAAAGTTTCTGTTTATCTAGTTATTTTTTAAATTTCTAAATTTTATTTACTTTCTTGATTTTTCTGAATTTATATCAATTTTTAGAATTTCTATTGATTTTTTATCTAATTATATTTGTTTATATTGATTAAAATATATTTTTTTAAAAATAAACCATCACATCACCGCTTTTTACATGCTAATGATCAATAACCAGTCATAATTTTGATATGTGCAACAAGTAAGTTAATTTCGGTGTTTAATATATTAATGATACACATTTTATTGTTCAAAGTGTTAGCAGTTTTGCCAACACTTTTGCTAATTTCGTTAATTATCAACTACCCAATATGTATGTTTAGGTTAGATTTGAGCTGAGCACATGAAATACGGGGTTTAAACATATTTAGATTTAAACTACAAATATTTGCTAATTTCATCAATTTTTACGCAATTTTCCCAAATAATAATTCCTTAAATGTATGTAGAAAGGCTGCCTTTTATAAAGATTGAACCCATCACCTATAAGATATAAAAAACCGCTTAAACCATTTTTAAAAGAAACTATTTTTACAGCTAATGCTCTTAGCATTCTTATATTATTCGACGTTTTAACTCCGTATTTCATGTGCTCAGCTCAAAGCTGACCTGAACATACATATTGGGTAGTTGATAGTTGAAACCATGATATTGTGCCCAATCAGAATGACATATGTATTGAATCGTTTGGGAAAATAATTAGAAAAGTTAGAGCAGGATTATCGCGGGTGTTTAGGGGGCACTTATGCCAAAAGTTTTATTAAAAAAGAAATTAAAAAAGGAAAAGACGAAAACACGACGCTTAATTAGGCTTCGAAAGCGTCGACGCTTTCGTGCACGTGTCAACAGATGAGAGGGGGGGGAGTTCGGTTTACGCGTGAACAACTCTCGATCTTTCTTCTCTCTCTCTCTCTCTCTCTCTCTCTCTCTCTCTCTCTCTCTCTCTCTCTCTCTCTCTCTCTCTCTCGAATCCTCTCATGAACCGGCGAAGACGAAGGCGATTTCAAGGGATTTCGATCGCTCTGCTACCGGCGGTGACGTCTCCCTCGGTGGCTCCGCGTCGGCGATATCTACGGTGGTTCTCCGCGTCGGTGATGGAAAGGTAACCGTTTCTTGTCTTCTTTGATTTTGCATGTGATCAGAAAAAGAATCTGATTGTTTTCTGTTAACTCCACGGCGGTTCTGATTTTTTTTTTGTTTGTTAGGTATATTGGTTGCGACGGTGCCCTCTCTCGGTGGAGTCAAAGCGTTTCATTCTTTTCGTCGATTTGGTGGTGACGTCTCCCTTGGTGGCTCCGGGTCGGCGATATCTACGGTGGTTCTCCGCGTCGGCGATGGAATGGTAACTGTTTTTTCTCTTCTTCGATTTTGCATGTGATTAGAATAAGAATCGATCTGATTGTTTTCTGTTAACTCTACGGCGGTTCTTATCCTTTGATTTTTGTTTGTTAGGTGTATTGGTGGCGACGGAGCCCTCTCTCGGTAGAGTCAAAGCGTTTCATCCTCGACGGTGATGGAGCTCTCCTAGACGGTGATGGAGCTCTCCTAGACGGTGATGGAGCTCTCCTCGACGGTGATGGAGCTCTCTCTCCGTGAAGGCTCTCCGCGAAGGTAAAGTTTCTGTTTCAACGTTGATAAAATTTTGTAAATGTTTACTTGTTTGATTTGGTTTGTTTTGATTAAGATGGATGGATGAAAATATCTTGTTTGTTGGTTTGTTTGAACTTGGATTTGATTGAATTAAGATGGAATTTGATGTTCCTGCTTTGATAAAATTTGATGTTGATTCTTTGATAAAACCCTTTTGAATCTTTTTGAGTTTGTCTTTGTTTGTATGTTTCAGTTCCTGAAATTGTGAATTCAAAACTGTTCTATAATATATTAATCATGTTTGTATGTTGCAATTTAGAAAAGGTAAGATGGGTCGTCGATCACACTGGTTGTTTGAACATTGATAAAATACTCTTTGATTTGTTTCTGTGTCTTATTTTGATTAGTTTGTAAATTTTTTCGAAATTTATTTTGATTAGTTTCTGTGTCTTATTACTGTCTTAAAATGAGTGATCGGGATAGAAGCCGAAGTAAGCTCAAAGCAGAGGAGTTCTTTTGGTTTTCAAGAAACAGGTACTTGTCTTAGTCTAAAGAATTGAATGAAAGGTGAACATACAAATTTCGAATTACAATGATAAAAAGCTAAATAAAAAAATTTACGGTTGTGTGAAAGAGTTAATGTGTTAATTAGTGAACTGATATATGGTTTTGTGTTTTGTGATAAATTAAATTAAAGAAACATGTACTTGTCTTAACTCTATCTAACCGAAATTGTTGAGTTAATGAGTTAGATAGATTTAATTAATTAGTTAGATAAATGTCAAGTCCATCTGGTTGTTTGAGTGTTGAATGCGAAACCAACCTATTCCTTCTTTATCTCCTCTATTAAACTCACCTTCTTCTCAACTAAGTTTGCAAACCTCTCTTAATACAAACACTAAAAATGGTTTCCAATAATCCCTACCTAAATTTTGTTGATCTTCTTCAAAGTTAACAAGATAGTAGCCTAGGTTTAGAATCCTCTCCCATTCCTGTATTTGGCACGGAAGAAACAGAGGAAGCCAATCCTGTGGAACGTAAAGAACGGAGGTCTTGGACGGCAACAGATGATGTTGTCCTCATTAGCGCATGGTTAAACACCAGCAAAGATACTGTTCTTGGAAACGAACAAAAGGCTACTAACTTCTGGCAGAGAGTAGCTGACTACTTTGCTGCTAGTCCGAAAGTGGCAGGCTGTGAAAGAAGAAACCCAATGCACTACAAGAATCGGTGGCAGAAGATCAATGATGGTGTCAGCAAGTTCTGTGGAGCCTATGAGGCCGCAACAAGACAGCAAACTTCTGGCCGAAATGAGAGTGATACTCTCTCGCATGCTTACGTTATTTTTTCTAACAACTACAAAAAAGATTTTAAGTTAGAACATGCGTGGAGGGAGCTTCGTTTTTACCAGAAGTGGTGCGCTCTATCAACCGGGAAAACCTCTAAAAAGAGAAGAGTTGAGGACGGTGCTCAATCCTCAACATCTCACGCTACTAATGACACAGTTGAGCGGCCTCCTGGTGTTAAGGCTGCCAAGCGCAGTGGTAAGAAGGCAGTGGCAATGGAAGAGGGGAAGGGGTTAGCGGATATTGAGAGGATTGAGCGTATTTGGACCATAAAACAAGAGGAATTTAGTAGGAAAGAAAGGCTGTCGAAGTTAGGTTTACTTGACCGCCTTCTGGCTAAAACAGAGCCACTCCTTCAGCATGAAGAAAGTCTAAAGATGAATCTCATTGCTGAGTTGTACCCCGCCTAGTCTAAAGTACTTGTTATGTTTAATTATTGATGTTGTAGTTGCTTATTGTCATGTTCTTTGCTTAGCTATGTATAATGTTTAGTTCTCTTGTATTAATATTAATCTACAGGTTTTTCTCTTTTGCAGGTGAAGCAGACAAGAAGTGCTCGAGTTACAAGTTAAGCGTTATGTCTTCTTCTTCTAATACGGTAATGGGACCACTCACTACCATCAAAGCCACGTAAAAAGTTTCGTTTAAAATGAATCCAATACGTAGCACTGATAGTAGTGAGTGTCCCCGCTACCATATTGAGCAACAACATGAAGCTTAGGTTTGGTTTGAGCATGTGTAGTGCCTTGGGTTTGGTCTTGATCAAGTGCTTAGCTATGTATAATTATTGATCAAGTGTTTTTCTTCTCTGTATGTGTAGTGTCAGTTTGTTAGTCCGTGAGTGAGCATGTGTAGTGTCAGTTTGTTAGTCCGTGAGTGAGCATTGTAGTGTCAGTGTGTGTGTTTTCTTTTTCACGGATTGAAGCAGTGTAATGCATTGTAGAGTCACAAGACTCAATATTTTCTCAATGTGTGATCACGGATTGAGAATTGTAGAGTCACAGACTCAATATTGTAATGGCAGGAACAAGTATATATATTTGTTACTTGTGTTTTCATTACGAGTATCCAAACCTCTTTCTTCTTTCTTATATCATGTATTTCATATCTTTCTAGTTTTTCATCTTTTGTTTTTCATTAGTTCTAAACTCTAATGCAAATATGTTACTTCTTTCTTACCAAACATGTTTCTTTTATCTTATCAATCCAAACCAAATTTCAAATCTCTTAAATAATGGCATCATCTTCTGAAAACAATTTCGAAGAATCTGATGATAACCAATATTTTGATCAATATATTGATCAATATTTTGATCAACTGATGGTACAAACCTTAGAGAATTTAGCAATTGGTCATGTAGAAGCACCAAGGAGACAAAGAAGACCACGGGCTTATATCGAAAGAAACAGTGAACAAGGGCACATTCAGTTGTGGAATGATTATTTCAGTGAAACCCCGACGTATCCTGCAAATTTATTCCGACGACGTTTTAGAATGAAGAAGCCGTTGTTTATGCGCATCGTTGATCGAAATTCCAGCGAAGTTCAATACTTTCGGCAAACAACATATGGTCTCGGAAGGAACAGTCTCTCTCCCCTTCAAAAGTGTACTGCGGCCATTCGTGTTTTGGCATATGGTTCGGCGGTTGATGCGGTCGACGAGTACCTCTGGCTCGGTGACTCAACAACTCGGTTATGTCTAGAAAATTTTTTGGAAGGCGTAGTAGCTTTATTCGGTGATGAGTACCTAAGAAGACCAACACCGGCTGACCTTCAATGTCTACTTGATATTGGAGAGCGTCGTGGATTTCCCGGGATGATAGGAAGCATCGATTGTATGCATTGGAAATGGAAGAATTGTCCCACCACTTGGAAAGGGCAATATAGTTGCTGTTCGGGTAAACCGACGATCGTTTTAGAGGCGGTTGCTTCGTATGATCTCTAGATATGGCATGCGTTTTTTGGAGCTCCAGGTACTTTAAACGATATCAATGTTCTTGATCGCTCACCTGTTTTTGATGACACAATAAAAAGGTCAAGCTCCTGAAGTGACTTTCTTCGTCAATGGAAGATCATATGGCTTACTATCTCACCGATGTTATTTATCCGAAATGGGAAACATTTATCCAATCTATTCCACTACCACAAGAACCGAAAGCAGCTTTATTTGCTCAATGTCAAGAAGCTGTCCGAAAAGATGTCGAACGTGCTTTTGGGGTCTTGCAAGCTCGGTTTGCCATTGTTAAAAATCCCGCGCTGTTTTGGGATAAAGCTAAAATTGGGAAGATTATGAGAGCATGTATCATACTTCATAATATGATAGTCGAAGACGAACGAGATGGATACACTCAATTTGATGTTGAAGAGTTCCAACAAGGAGAAGACACCAGAACTTCACATGTCGATCTAACATATTCTACTGATATTCCAACTAATATCGGAAGTATGATGGCCGCTCGAACAAAAATTCGTGATAAACGAATGCATGAACAACTCAAACATGATTTGGTTGAACATGTATGACACAAATTTAGACGTGATGGGAGCAACAACTGATCTCCGATGCTTCTTTCAAATAATTCTCGTTTATTTTATGAATCTTTGTTTTTATGTTTTTTTTTCAAATTTATGTTTTAAATGTTATCATGTAATATATTTTATTTAATAAATAAATTTAAACTTTAAAAAAAGGCAAAAATTCTTAAGAACCATGAATTAAGAACCTTGCAATGAAAGAGGACAATTAACAAAATGCTTAGAGAAGTTACTCACCCCAAAAAAATCCCCAACTATTAATATTATATTCCTAAGCACCTTTTATTATGGTGCTAGGATAATCATGGTCTTAGATGTCAACAAAAGAGAAGCGGCGGTAGACAGATGTAGGAACGAAAACACTGGTTTGGATTCTAGAGACTTTAAGGAAATAAATATGCACATTAGGGCTTGAACTCAATCGTGCCATGACATTTTGTTTTTTTTTTGTTTAATGTTTTTATATTAGTTTCATTTAATACGTATATTAGATCATGATCCGCGCATCCGCGCAAATTTTATTTTTTAGATGTATATTATATAATTTAGTTTTATATAGTTTCGAGTTTACCCAATTCGATTTTATATTTAAAGAATAATATCAAAACTATTTTTTTTATTAATAATGTCAAACAATGTATTATGTAGATGTAACCGTGCAGTGAAAACACTAATTTTGTATGTTTGTTCAAAGTGCAAAATTAAATTCAAACCTAACTTTTTGTGTTAAAAATAAAAGGTTGGTGTTTAATTATTTTTGATGTTAATAATTATCCAATATTTTTTTAAAAATATACAAACTTTTAGAATTTTCGGCCTTGACTTTTATTTTATAGGTTATGTCAAATTCAAACTTAACTTTGGTCATAACTTTACAGGTGAAGAATATTTTATGATGAAAAATTTCATAAATAACTTAACAAATATTTTGGTAATTTGAAAGAATTTATGTATTTTAAATATTTTTGCATTTCATAAATAACTTAACCCGACCCACAGTTAAATCGGTGATCTAATTCAATTTTGATTTTTAAAAATATCCATATTTAAAAAAATTACTAAAACCCGAGACTGGCCGATTAAACCGATGGATAACTGATATGTAACATTTAAAGCTATACACGTATATTTTTGTTGTTTTATATATTATTTAAATTTTTAATTTTATCTAAATAATTTGAAAGAAAATTGTAAAAAAACTATTAAAAAGAGTGAGATTTCATATTTTGTAATGTTTGGAGATAAGATTAATTTTATTGTTATTTGGAAATAGTAGTATAAAGAAATGAGTATATTGTTATTGTTTGGAAACATAGATAATAGTATAAGGATATATATATATTGTTTTGAAACATAGATAGTAATATAAATAAATAAATATTATAATTTAATGTAGATTAACAATAAAAGAAAAAGATGTATTTAATTTAAAAACTTACAAAATAAATTTAGATCAAACCTAATGTTTTTGATTTAATAAGATAGATAACTCACTCACTTTCCAAACACATCTATATGTGACTGGTTTGTATGAGTGGATTCATGCTGCAACGCTTCTCAGCCCATTAAGTTATCAAAAGAGCTTAATAGTTTTCGTTTCCAACTAAATTCACAATTTCCTTCAATTTTTGTGTTGAATCGAAAATGGTCAAAAATTCATAAGAATTTGATAATATTGTTAACTAATGCAAAAATTTCGTATGACATGATCCGTGTTTTTTTTTTTTTGGTTCTGATTGAAAGAAACGTTTTAAAACGAAACGAGAAACATGGGCCTTAGAAACATATATGAAACAACAAATGGGCTTTCGGGTAAAGTATTAACCCGGTGACACTCGTCAAACTCAACTTGTCTACGCGATTTGATCCGGTTTCAGACTGACGACCAACTCGAACCACCACGTTCGTCGATCAATAATCTCTGAGATCCTTTAGCGTGTGGCGGCGATTAGCAAATCGCCTGAATCTGATCTTCGAATCTGTGATGCGATCCTACTGAAGAATGCGCGGAATTTCAAACCCGAGATCGAATCAATTTCTTAGAAATCAAGCGATCGAGTCGTCATAAATTGACCTTGGTGTCTGCGATGGATAGAAGTTGGGTCTTGTCACTTCTTCTTCTATTGATTCTGTTCGTCTCCAATGCTTCATCATCTCGGGGGTTAGTAGATGAACAGCCTCCCAAAGTTGATTCGAATTCAACCGTTACACAAGTAAGTCGCTCCTTTTTACTCCCTTAATCGATTTCTTTCCTCTGATCTCTAGTGTTAAATGTGTTTCATTTGTTTCTGCTTTAGAGTCCTCCATTACCTAATGTTACACCCATTGGAGATGTAAAAGCCAATGCAACCTCTTCACTGCCAACTACTAACTCCACGAGTCCTGATCCTAAGGAGCTTGATTCTGCGAGTCCACCACCACCACCACCACCACCACCGCAGCTGCAAGCTGAAGGAGAGAAGAATGTGCCAGTTGTGTCAAATGCAACGGAGGCCATAAGCCCACCTCCAGCTAACCAAACGGAGAGCCAGGATAACGGAAAGTTACCTGCTAAATTGGAGCCACCTCCCAAGAGTCCGAATGGGAAGGTGGGGGAGACGGGAAACCCGCCTCCGCCTAAAGAAGATCCTGAGAAGGTGGATGACTCCAAGGGAAGCTCAGAGTCTGCCGTTACTGAGACATGTACAGGGAAGTCTAATATATGTACAACTGAGAATTCATTGGTGGCGTGCACTTTGAGCATCGACAAAGGTACTTTCGTGGCTTCTTTGTTTCTTTGATTCTGTAGAACCAGCTGTTAGTATAGCATTCAAAGTTCTGAGCTTTGAGACTGTCAAATTTGTGGAATGGAAAACTGCAAGTGTATGGCCGTTTTAGAACTAGTACATGGAAGCACAAAACTATTGGTTTCAACTTAGTTGTCTTAGCTTCTTCAGTAAAAGCAATATAGCAGGTTTTTCCTGCAGCCTGGAAAGACTTGGACAAGCTGTAAATACTTGTTGGCTATGGTGCTCCTTATCAAAACTCGTCTTGTTAAGGACTAAAGTAGCAAATGCTTTAGGTTATTATGACGTCTCTTGCTAACTCAAAGTCCCTAATTACTAGATGTTTAAGATTAGTGTGTTGTGTTACTTTGTATATGAGTGTGATCTCGGCGACATGAAACATGTTTACAAACTATAGCTATATACCCTTACAATTAGTAAGGTCTCTGCTTCATCTGTTCTGTTTTCTCCAGTAGGTTTTTACTTAAATTGGAAGAATTTTCATTACTAACTTGTGTTTATTAATTGCAGATTCTTCGAAATGGTGGATTCTAGTTCAGAATGAAGGTGAAGAACCTTTAATAGCTAAAATTGTTCTTCCAGTTAACTCTTCACCATATCTGACACTGACAAAACACCAGAGTCAAAGGGTACGTGCTCGATGTGTTTCTGTTCTCATTCCATTGAAAAAAACGTTACCTTAGACATGTATATCTCTGGAAGTCTGAACTACTTTGTGCTCTTTGATGATACAATGCATGTATTACTCTAGTAATCGACCTTTTTCACTTATTTGACAGAAAATGTTGACTCTCTCTCTCTCTCTCTATGCACAGGTGAACATATCCATTAGTGGAGACACAAACAAAATCATACTGGACGCAGGGTTGGGAGAGTGTGTGCTTCACATGTACTCACCAGAAGAAAAAACCTTATCCATCCACCTTCCTTCATATGAAAAGCTAGTGACCCCCATTAACGGCGCCTACTTCTTAATAGTATCTGTCATCATTTTTGGTGGAGCTTGGGGATTGTGTCTGTGCCGGAAGAATCGCCGTGCAGACAATGGAGTGCCTTACCGTGAGCTAGAAATGAGCGGAGGGCCAGGCGTAGAAAGTGTTCACGACGTGGAGACAGCGGACTGGGATGAGGGATGGGATGATGATTGGGATGAGAATAATGCTGTGAAATCCCCTGGTGGTGCAGCAAACAGTGCCAGGATCTCTGCCAACGGATTAACCGCGAGAGCTTCAAACCGAGATGGCTGGGAAGACTGGGACGACTAGAATAGTTGTGTGTGGATGGATAAACTATTACTTAAAAAGAGTCATAACCACTTTTGGATACAGATTCCTGCAAAGAAAGACAAGACAGATACAGAAAGGTTTTAATGTATACGCAAAGCTTTAATTTTCTTTTTCTAAGTTGAAGAATATTACATTTTGTACTTGAGTCTCCCAACCAGAACATGTTGTGTTTTGTTTTGCTACTCTTTAGTTTCATATTTTGTGTAACTTGTGTACCAAGGCGTTCAGTTTTGTAGTTTCCTTTCTATTTGTTATGGGCTGTCACATATAATTTGATTTATCTCTGAAATGTTGATGCTTTTCGCCATTTTCCCTGAATATATTGGAGCTTTGAAACAACCAGTGTTACAATTCATAGAGAGAGTGCAACCTTTTCATATTCAATAAGGTTAGATGAGGCCTATTTATATACAGGCCCACACGAGGACAGTAATCGAAATGGCCTATGATTACGTAACCTAAACAAAAACGGGACCCAGTTTTCGCTTTACAATGAGACAATGAGAGGGGCAGCTCGGCCATGATGGGTCATCGTCGCTCGTCACCGCATACCGAAGAAGAAAAAACATGCGTTTTAAAATTCTCTTTGCTTTTTCAGAAATTGGTGGGATTGTCCTTAAATACACCTCATATTTGCAATCTATCCTTCCAAAATATAAACTATTTTGTCTGACCATTATACCCCTATCTCATTCTCTCTCTCTTCTCTTCCCTATCTTCTAACCTCTTTATCTCTCACACATGATATGTTTACGTTTTCATTTTTTCATCATAAATCTCTATTTTTTACTCTGATTCTTTTGACACCCACATTGCTAATGTTGTTATCTCACACTAATTCTATTATTTCTAATTTCAAATCTTGAAATATACATTCTTTTATTTGGATAATATGTAAGTTAGCAGCTATTTTATTATTTACCCGTTATTATTATATTTTAATGAATTTGTAACCGATACATAGAGTGTTAGCTGTTACAAATAGGATTACAGCTATTTGATAGATAATTGATTAGCAGTTAATATATGTATTTTTATGATAATAGAATTGTTAACATGCTAACCTGTTTGTTAGCGATTTATTTAACACGCTAATAAATAGACGTAACTCGATAACAAAATTTGTAGCATGTTAAAATTTTGTCAATTTGCTAACAATTTTTATATCATGTTAAAATTGATAAATATCTCTTAGTGTTTAGTTAACATAATGTGTATCCGCTAAATCTAGAGTTACATGTTTTTGATAAAGTAAGAGGGCATTTTCGTCCGCACAGTGTCAAAAGGTTACTCATTTTTGGATTATCCAAAACCGTGGACATTCGGCCAATTTGGATCTTTGTTAGGTACATTACACCAATTGTCTCTTGCTTTTTATACACAAACGAACTGTCAACCTTATACCAAATCAACATTATCCTTGTACGGTTGGGTATGCAACAATAACAGCCGTTACCACCCTATGGGCATTGTCGTCACTTCAATCTACTTTATCGAGCCGGCTTCAACTTGACACTGGCCTCTAAACGAAAGAGATAAATCAAAATTAATTTAATCTCAATTAAGCGTTAACGCGTTGAGGAAGACAACAACGCTGTCCGTTTTTGTCGTGTAAAACATACTTACCTCCACTATCTCTTTTCTTGAAATTAATTCTCTGTTGGTTCACCAACTCCTCTCCCTTCCAAAATATCTCTGTCTTCTCCAAATCTTGCTAGGTTTCTTCACCGATTCTCAAGGTACGTTTAAACTCCACTCTCCTACTACTGAAACCATATCCAGTTCCACTCTTTGTCGGAATTAGTTTCTTTATAGTACAACTTTCCATTTTTAGATCTGTAAAGTTTCCGTTTGATTTTTGTCTCATAGATCGAGAAGAAAGCTACTCTGATCGATGAAGCTCACGGAGAGACGATCATGTCTCTCCCTTCTCCTCCTCCTGCTCTTGGCCTCATCTTCTTTAATCTCAGCCGCTGATTACACTCGCACCGACAAGATTTTCTTGAACTGCGGTGGCTCTTCCGACCAAACTGACACAGATAACCGTACATGGATCCCTGATGTCAAATCCAAGTTCTTGTCTTCCTCCGGAGACTCCAAAACTTCTCCCGCCGCGACACAAGATCCTTCAGTCCCGGAGGTTCCTTACATGACCGCTAGAATCTTCCGATCTCCCTTCACTTACTCCTTCTCCGTTGCAGCAGGTCGTAAGTTCGTGCGTCTCTACTTCCACCCCAACTCATACGACGGCCTCAACGCCACCAACTCCCTCTTCACTGTCACCTCCGGTCCCTACACTCTCCTCAAGAACTTCAGCGCTGCTCAAACCGCACAGGCACTGACTTACTCTTCCATCGTTAAAGAGTTTGTTGTTAATGTAGAAGCTGGGACATTGAACATGACTTTCACACCTGAATCAACACCTAAGGCTTATGCCTTTGTGAATGGTATTGAGGTGACTTCAATGCCTGATCTTTATAGCAACACAGATGGGACTTTGGCGATTGTGGGCTCTTCTAGTGCAGTCACTATAGATAACAGCACCGCTCTTGAGAATGTATACAGGCTCAATGTAGGAGGAAATGATATCTCGCCTTCTGAAGATACAGGTCTTTACAGGTCTTGGTATGATGACTCGCCATACATTTTTGGTGCGGGGGCTGGTGTCACAGAGACTCTTGATCCCAACATCACCGTTAAGTATCCTACAGGCACGCCTACATACACTGCTCCTGTTGATGTTTATTCCACAGCTAGGTCGATGACCCCTACAGCTCAACTCAACCTCAACTCCAACCTTACTTGGATTTTCAGCATTGACTATGGGTTTACTTATCTTGTTAGACTTCATTTCTGTGAGGTTCTTCCCAACATCACTAAGATCAACCAACGTGTGTTTTCAATCTACCTCAACAACCAAACAGCTGAGCTTGAAGCTGATGTTGCTGGCTGGACAGGTGGAAATGGGATTCCTAGACCTAAAGATTACGTTGTGAATCCTCCTTATGGTAAGGGACAGCAGGATCTGTGGCTTGCTCTTCATCCATACACGAGGGAAAAGCCTGAGTACTATGATGCTATTCTTAATGGAGTTGAGATTTTCAAGATGAATGGTTCTGATGGTAATCTTGCTGGTCCTAATCCTATACCTGGTCCACAAGTGACTGCAGATCCATCCAGAGTCCGACGCCCGCGTGCTCAGTCCAAGAACCATACAGCTATTGTTGCAGGTATAGTCAGTGGTGCAGCTGTTCTTGGGCTTATTGTTGGTTTATGTGCATTGGTTGCTTACCGAAGACGTAAGGCTGGTGATTTACAGCCTCCAAGTGATGCAACATCAGGATGGCTTCCACTGTCTCTTTATGGCAACTCACATTCTGGTGGCTCGGGGAAGACGAATACTACAGGAATCTATGCCTCGTCTCTTCCTTCAAACCTTTGTCGTCACTTCTCTTTTTCTGAGAACTTTGATGAGTCTAGGGTGCTTGGTGTTGGAGGTTTCGGCAAGGTGTACAGAGGAGAGATTGATGGTGGAACTACAAAGGTAGCAATCAAGAGAGGTAACCCGATGTCTGAGCAAGGTGTACATGAGTTTCAGACAGAGATTGAGATGCTTTCGAAGCTAAGACACCGTCACCTCGTGTCTTTGATTGGATACTGTGAAGAGAATTGTGAGATGATCCTAGTGTATGATTACATGGCTCATGGGACAATGAGAGAGCATCTCTACAAGACTCAAAACTCTCCTCTTCCTTGGAAGCAACGTCTTGAGATATGCATAGGAGCAGCCAGAGGGTTGCATTATCTACACACTGGTGCAAAGCACACGATCATCCACAGAGATGTGAAGACGACAAACATTCTGCTTGATGAGAAATGGGTGGCTAAGGTCTCTGACTTCGGTTTGTCAAAGACTGGTCCTACACTTGACCACACACACGTAAGCACTGTCGTGAAAGGAAGTTTCGGTTATCTCGATCCAGAGTACTTCAGAAGGCAACAACTGACTGATAAATCCGATGTCTACTCCTTTGGTGTTGTTCTCTTTGATGCCTTATGCGCAAGGCCTGCCTTGAACCCGACACTGGCGAAAGAACAAGTGAGCTTAGCTGAGTGGGCACCATACTGCTACAAGAAAGGCATGCTTGATCAGATCGTTGATCCGTATCTCAAGGGCAAGATCACACCGGAATGCTTCAAGAAGTTTGCTGAAACCGCGATGAAGTGTGTGTTAGACCAGGGCATTGAGAGACCGTCCATGGGAGATGTTATGTGGAACTTGGAGTTTGCGTTGCAGCTTCAGGAAAGCGCGGAAGAGAGTGGGAAGGGGATAGGCAGTGAGATGGACATGGATGAGATTAAGTACGATGGTGATGGCTGTAAAGGGAAGAGCAACGACAAGGGCTCTGATGTGTATGAAGGGAACGTGACTGGCTCGAGGAGCAGTGGAATAGACATGAGTATTGGTGGTCGGAGTTTGGCTAGTGAAGATTCAGATGGACTCACTCCAAGTGCTGTGTTTTCTCAGATCATGAATCCTAAGGGACGTTAGAGAACAAGTCTTTTAAAACCCGGTACACTTGTACCTTTTCTTAACCGGCCCCATCAAAAGAAAGCTGGTTCCCGTTATTTATACTCTTTACTGGTATTTATATAGAATTTTGGATTGCGTAATTTGATACAACTACTACAACCACAATGAAGAGTGTAAAATATTGTATTTATTTTCTTCTACATAACATGATTGGGTTCAGTTTAGTACTTGCTTTGTTATCTATATCTATAACGCTTTTATAGTGGATGCATTGTTAGAAACCAATAACCATTACGAGTCAAAATAAACCAGACCCACCTTTTTCCAAAAAAGTGTGTAAAACTGTAAAGTGAAGAATTGTGACGCAAATTAGTCAAGAATATTAGGTTTTCTTATCGTAATTACATTGTCAGGTAGGCCCTAAACCAAACATTAGGTTGCTTTGTCGACGTTCTAAAGGAGATTAGGTTTTTCTTACAATAATTACATTGTTAGGTAGGCCCTAAAACAAACATTAGGTTGCTTTATAGACGTTTCAAAGTCAGACTAATCATGAGCTAAGCTACAACCTATTGTATACTTCATTTCCGCAATACAAGAAACACTTCAAGAACATTAATATTGTGACAAGAGAATGTTTAAGTGATTGTTAGCAATTTGACCCGAAGCATTTGACAATTTTTTTTTCCAGACTTCGGACTTGCTGGTGTACGTGAACGGCCTGAAAAAGAAGGAATCAGAGAAGAAGTAGAATGCCATTTAGGCTGATTTACATTCCTTGTGGTTGCCACTGGTCTACCAAACTCTAAAGTGGCTCCTCTTGAGGGTGTTGATGTAAATGATTGGGATGATGAGGTAGACGCAGACGCAGAGCGCACTTTGGTTGTACTTGATGCAATCTGAGTATTGCACTCATACCCTTGTACCAGCTCTTGTAGTAGAAACGGACTGAAGCTTGGAAGTTACGTTTCTAGCTTCTACAACGAATCTATAAAAGAGTTCCTAATAGAACCTCAGGAACTGTATAAAGCCTAATTGCATCAAACATTATAACTTGTTTACATTGTCTATGAATTTGTTTTTTCTTTTAATTTGTTTTTTTCAATCATTAAGGATAAACATGAGATAACAATTTTCCATTTTCAGAATATTATTTAAAGAATGTTCAATTGCAGGTCAGAGTAGCCTGCTCCGGCTTTGTGCCTCTCAAACAAATCCTTAAGCGCTTCCACAAACTGGCCATGCAACTTAGCAATCTGAAATGCAACAAAAAACACACACCATCCATAAGTCAGTTGGCTGCAACGATTTTGCAAGTCCTGATTCCATATCAAGAAGCATTCTACACAGCACCAAAATTGCAGCTCCTGATTCCATCCATATCAAGAAGAAGAAGATGAACTAACCTCTTCATCAGTTGGCTGCAACGATTTTGTAACTTCTATTGGTTTACCAACCACCACATGAATAGGGTGCCTATATGGTATTGGGGATCTACAAAACCAAACGACATACATGTTTGTTAGTTAGTCTTTACGTCTTTCAAGATTTTATATGCAAAATGTAACACAACGAGATATACTCTTACCCCAAAACTCCCCAGAAACAGATTGGAGTAAACCTGATCGCTCTTGCTAGCTTAAAATAAAGGTTACAATCTGGCTTCCACCACTTGTACGCACGGGACTGCAGAAGAAACAAGGATCAAGTTTGATGAGAGTTTCAGTTACACAGAGCACAACACTATTTTTGTGAGCAACACTTTCCACCCTTACCTGACCAAAACAGAAAACTGGAACGAGAGGAGACCCTTGTTCCATGGCGATGCGCACAAATCCTCTTCTTGATGAAAGGAAGATGTTCTGCAATGTGAGAACACAGTTTTCAATAAATAACTAAACAGAATGTTGCAGGAGATCACAAGTTATAAACAGCAGGTCTCAAGTGTTACACTTTCCAATACTTGTAACTTTCTAAGTAACCCAAATAAATATATGATTTCATCAAAGCACATGTAAATCCTACTAAGTTAGCTACCTCAACATCATGTTGCAAGTGAAACGTTTCCTGCACACCACCAGGTACAAGGATACAACTATAGCCAGACTCCAAAAGGGAAGAGAAACTCTTTCTAGAAGCAGGGGCAAGCCCTAACCATGCCCACATGTGCCTCAGAAACGGTGTGTAGAATATCTAACAAAAACAATAAAGTTACAGGGGAAAATGTAAAGGACACACAATTAAAAAGGCATTAAGTATTGAGCAACATAAACTCACAGCATCGCTTGCAAGAAGTTTGATGTTAGGAAGTGGCATAAACCCTGTAAGATCAACAAGTGCAACAGCTCCAATGGGCCACACCGAATGTGGTTCATAACCAAAAACTGTACTTGCACGTTTTTAAAAGTCAACGCTTTCACAAAAAAAAAAAACCCATCTCAAAAAAAGAGAAGATTATGACAGACCATAGGAGCGATCAGGCCGGAAAGCTTCGTAATCCTCGACATGCAGAGTAACGGGGAAGTAACTAGACGCGTGCTTACATATGTACCTGTAAACGAAACAAAAGAAAAGATGAAGTTGATGGCAAAAAACGGTTTGAGAGAAAGAAGTACCTAGCAAGCTTAAGACCGTATTTGCTACGATCATCTATAGGGATGAAGATAAACAGAGAGAGCAGGCCCAATACCCTGGAAAAAAACAGAGGATTTTCTTAAAAGAGTTTTCTTTGGAAGAGACAGAAATAGAAACAGAGGATGTATGTATGTATATACAAAAGGGAGAGAGAAGGTGGAAGGAAGATGAGGGAGAAGAGAACAAGAGCGAAGTTCAAGTAAATGGCACTAAGGCAGATGCCTATGGCGGTCACTGCGTGGAGTATGTTCGAGGGGACATGTTCCTCTGCTCCAAAGTCTCTGACTTTTCCCATAACACCAGCTCTGTCTGATTCTTTGGTTTGTCCGCTTTACAGACCAAAGACGATCCTGAATAGCTGAATCCTCGATCTCTCGCTCTATCCCCCTCCTCGGGAAAAGCAACCAATCTTTAGATAACCCATCATTAAAGAGCCCACAGACCCAAAAAAAAAAGAAAAAAGAAAAAAAAAGTCATTTTCGTTAGACCATGTCCTGCATGTTCATATGTAATTCATTGGTTTACACATGTGAAAGTTGAAATTTCATTTGTTTTGAATGCCACTTGGCACTTATACAAATAACAAGCTGTACGGCAACTCGTTGAGCTGAGGGTAGTATTACCATCAGCTCCAGATGTTTCAACAGAAAGGTGATCCGCCATGGCATATCCAACTCTTTGATTTCTTGTTGATTCATATCTTTCAGACATATTATATATGTAAAGAGAGGATGAATACCACGATCAACAAAATCTAGCGGGTAATATGTAGCGAACAGTGAACAGAAGCAAAGTCCTTTCACAATGATGTGCTGCATTTTTAACGCATTCTAACCTTTGTTATCAAGTAGTATTTTTTGAGTCTTTATGGTATTTTAGTGTCCTAGAAGTCTTTCAGTTACATTTCTGGAGAATAGAGGCAAAAAATAAGAATTGTGATTAGGAATTGAAAACGAATCGTGATTCGGATTTGAAGCTGGCGGCAGTCTTGCTAAGAAATAATCGAGCTAGTATCTTGCATTTATATATCACTTGTTGAGGAAATCAACTTTGCGGTGTCGTTGAAATCACCGGATTCCTATTTTAAATCACCGATGGAATATATGGTGAAAATTCTAAGTGAGTTAGATTTGAATTAGTAGAGTTTGTCATAATAATCAGAGACTGAAGTAAAACATAGAATATATCTACTATATTAAAATAGAGTCATTCTTTTTATCTACTGATACAAGTTGTCATTTAAATTTAGACTATTTCTAGAATATTACAAATAATATAAGTCATATAATTGATTGAATCGTATTACTTAAATTAAATCAACAAAATTAATGTAAAAAGACGACCTTAATGTAAACTACTTTCAAAATACGGCAGATATCTATGTGTATACCAAAAATACATATTTTTCCTACAAATATGGAATGTTCTAAAAGAATATATATCATCAAAATATGGAATATGGAAATCTACTAATTATATTTAAATTAAATCAGTGGTTATTTATGGAATATAGTTTTCGGCTTACTTTTATTTTTTGAACAAATTATATAGTTTGGTTTTTGCGCTTAGTATTAAGAAAAAACTCCAAAAACATTGAATAAAATTTTCACCTTAAAAGATCAAAAAATCAATTATTATTTTCAGACCCAAAAGGTATTTAATATTTTTAACTAAACAAAATTATTCATTATTAATCATTTATTTAAATCATGTACTTTAAAACATGTTAATATATTTTTTTATTTTAAATAACAATCACTTTGTTTTGATAAATTTCAATGGTAATTTTTAAATAATTTATTGTTTTATTTTTCTTTAATAATTTACTGATTAAAAAAATGTAAAGCAAAACCAAAAACCAAATCTAAAAACTAAAATCCAAAACCAAAAGTTGAAAACACATATTATATTTTTTGCTTTGTTTATTTACAAAATAAACTATTTCAATTTTTTTTTTTAATTTTTTTTCATCTTTTCAGTTTTAAATTAGATGTTCGATTATTTGAGATGTTGAAAATAATGTAAAGCAAAACCAAAAACCAAATCTAAAAACTAAAATCCAAAACCAAAAGTTGAAAACACATATTATATTTTTTTGCTTTGTTTATTTACAAAATAAACTATTTCAATTTTTTTTTTTAATTTTTTTTCATCTTTTCAGTTTTAAATTAGATGTTCGATTATTTGAGATTTGTTTGTTGGTAATATTTTTTCAAATTAACTCAGCGGGTTTAAAAATTAAAAACCCAAACCAAAAACTGAAAATGAAAAGTAGAAACTTAAAAACTAAAAACCAAAATCCAAAATCTGAAAATAAAAACTGAAACTAAAAACTAATGAAAAACAATCATCACCATAAATTTTGGTGAACTGATTTTATATCAAAATATTATTTAAATTATGACAAAATCCAATTATATAAAATTTTAATCATAAAAAATTGCAGCGCTTTTAAGCGCAGGTCAAAATCTAGTTTTATTTAATTGAGAGGAGAGAACATAAAAGTAAGGGAAAATATAACAAAAAGTTGAGTAAAGGATGAGAGATAGGCAGGAGAAAACAAAATCACTTGTCTAATTCAAAATTTTACACATGTAAATGAACTTATTTGATTCTTTTTTGACATCAAAGGCTAAATGAACCTATTTGATTAGGGATGGTATAGAGAAGGAAAAGAGAGGACATTTACTTAATTATTGTCGTAGAGTATATGTACGCAAATGATCTCTTTCTTATATATATATATATATATTTTTTGGTGCACTCTTTCTTATATATATATATATATACTTGGGAAAATCCGCACTTCACGCGAGATATGATACTTTAGTCTCTAATATTTGTTAAATTGAGTTTTGTTTTTGGTGGATTTAGAAATTTGGTTAAATTGTCTGTATGAAACCATATGTGAATGATTTTTTTATATATACTTTCATTGTGCTTGGAGTGTTAAAGTCGTCATTAGACTAATTCTTTTTCTTTGTTCAACTTAGTCCTTACACTTAATTGTCTTTAGACTAATTTATGATCATCTATTGTTTTGATTGTTTGGTTGGATGTATATTTTGTTTTGTATACAGTAGAACCTCTATAAATTAATAATCGATAAATTAATATACACTAAATATCTCTATAAATCTATATTATAATAGTTCATTTTTAAGGTTCCTAAAGCTGTCCACGTCAGCAAGTTTGTGGATCCTGCGTGTTTAAATTTTAAAAGCTTATAGTTTTTTTTTAAAATGACTATGAACAATGAATACACTTTATCAAAGTGGTATAAGACATCTAATTAAGTCTGCAAGTGTGTGGGTTCAAACCACGCAACTATTATGTATTTTAGTTTTTTTGTTTGGATTATTATCATATGGGCTTTTTAGTTTTAATGTTTTTATGTTTTTTTTTCCTTTAGACTTATTGTTTAAAGCCCAAAATAGTGGAAAAATCCTAAAATTTGACGAACTCAAACCAAAAAACGATCAGCCAAAAAAACAAGAAAAAAAAAACGAGTCTCACGTGGCACTATCATGTCTTAATATATATATTTTTTTACTGTTAGAACATATTTCCTAATATATATTTAAAAAAATTATGTATGTGAAATAAAATAAAAAAATAGTTTTGTTATTTATAAAATAACTATGTAATTTCTCTTCAATTTTTAATAGTTACTATAATTTCATTTTTATCAGACTCCGGCGGATGGATTTCCACAGTCGATGACGCCGTAAATAAAAATACTACATTATTCATGAACAAAATCCAAACTTACAAAAAAACATATCCAAACCTATCTATTGAAACCCAAACAACAAATATTAACTTAAATTAAAGTTATTTTCAAATTGATAAATCGTTTAGTACAAATATAAATACTATAAATAAATATTTATATCAAGTTTTGACATCCGATATAAAAACTATTTCCAACATAAAAAAACAATATATACATCTATTTTTATACACTAAAAACTATATTATAATTTAGTTATTCCTATAAACCTTATTTCGCATATAAATAACATTTAACACATTATATATACAATATTTTCACTTTGCACTCTTGATACATTCTTTCTATTTCATCATTTTTTGGTATTATTAGAATAACCCACTAAACCAACAACCGAAAAAAACACAGATCTCGACCCCGCGCTTGCGCGGGGGTTACGCAGCTAATTAATATAATTTTATAGTCCCAAATTGAGTTTTTGATTCAATTAGTATATCTATAAATTAATATCTCTGTAAATTAATAAAAAAATAAAATTTTAGTGTAGTCCCAACATTATTAATTTGTAGAGGTTTCACTGTAGTTATTTTATAGTGATTTGTTTGTTTAAAAATGTCAAATATCTCTATTGAGCTTGTCATTTTTTTTTTTTTTTTAAAGCAGAGATCCAGTAAACTATTGTGATTACATTTTGGAGAACGTAATTTGGAGTCTTGTTGCTAAACTGAATGGATTTATTAAATTATTTTCATTTACTGGACTTTCCACTTCTAGTGCTACCTGCAATTACGAAGGCTGTTAAGAAATGTAACTAAAATCATGAGAGAGCTATGTGCCAGTATGTGTATGTATCTTATCTTTAGGCTTCGTGTGTTCTTATAGTGCTTGTTTAAAGTTTAATAAAAATATGTGAATTACTGGTTTCTAAGAAACATGTTTAGATGAATAGACGTCAAGGATGTCTTGCTTTCAAGCGAAGTAATAATACACTGGCTATATTTTTAGAAATCTTTTCCCTTCATTCTTTCAGTTGAATCAATTTTCTTCTAACCATTTAAAACAAATGACATTTAAAATTTCTTGAATGCTTATGATTTTTACTTCAATTTGAATAGTTTCTCAAGTAACAGCTACAATTAGAAAGAGTAGAAAAGGCCATCAAATTATTGATGGATGAGAAACCAAAACAAAACATTCAAAGAAAGCTTCATGTTCTAAACTGCCCAATAAACTTCCTAGTAGCAGCCGCAAGAGCAGCAGGAAACTTTGAATCTTTAGTTAACGAAGATGCCATTTTATGAACAAAACCTTTTGCATCATTCCCCTTTCGTTCTTCTCCAAAGCTAATATATGCTCACCATGAACCATATCGAAAGCAACAGTGTTTGATCCAACTTGGCTTGTAACATCCCTTTCAGAAGCGTTTGGACCAAAGTAGTTATGCTTCCCTTCGAATGTAGGCACACCAGTACGGATGGATCCTCTATGCTGTTTTGACCTGGACAACAACAATCACATAAGGAAATATCATCATAAGATAGTTGAAGAAGTAGAGATAAACG